TAATTTCCACCAGTGAACCCAGTAGAGAATAGAAGCTGATGGCAGACAGACATATTGCATGTGGTGCTGGTAAACATCCCTTTGACCCAGTGACTAGTAAAGGAAATATAGGCAGTAGACACCTCAAACATGTAACAGAAAGAGAAAAATCCACCCATCAACAGCCAGTGAGCAAAGAAACATAACTTAATAACACACTTGAAAAAGTGTCAGCCAGGAAAGGAAAAGACACAAAGCATCCACCCGTTAAGATGGACTCAAAAGGTGATCCCCCACCTGCTGAAACAATGCTGAAGAAAAGGTGTCCACAAGCCATGAGAATAAAGTAAGAAGCAAAGATACCCGGAGACAAGAGCCAGGGGGAAGGATTACATCGGAGCTGCAGTAAAAACCGCCTTCCCTTCCCCCACTGTTAACACTGGCTGAAGCCCACAGACACCCCGGTCCTTCTGCTACAGGAAGGGGAAATGAAAGAATGAAATGGAGAAGTGAACATCAGGACTGGCTCAGGAGGGATCAGAGGCTCCGGGGTGCCACAGTTAATGTAGGGGCTCAGAGAAAGCCTGGGGCATCCTGGCTCAGGGACTGAATTTGCCCCCTAAAAGTGGGGTGAATCTGGGGTGCCTGGGTGGCTCATTCAGTTAAGCATATGACTCTTGATTTCTGCTCAGGTCATGATCTCACGGGGTCGTGAGTTCGAGCACCGCATCAGGTTCCACACTGACATAGCAGAGCCTCCTTGGGATTCTCTCCCTCCCTCTCTCTCTGCCCCACCCTATTTGTGCTTTCCCTTTCTCTCTCAAATAAATAAACCTAAAAAATAAAATAAAAGTGGAGTGAATCCTGATACACGAAAGTGAATAAACTTTCCAAGAAAATGGAAAATGAAATCCCCCCAAAAAACGCTACCCTCGGCCCCACCTTCCCCTTAAGCTTTTTGTAAACAGAGAGAAGGCAACACTGGGCCATCAAGCTGGCATCCTGAATGGGGAAAAAAAAACCCAACAAGTCTCACAGTAACAGGCAAAGGAACTAAAAAAACTCTGGCACCACCTCAGATGTCTGGGCAGAGCTGTCATGGTCCACACAAACTGGATGAAAAAAAAGGATATGGCAAGTATGCAATCATCCCCCAGGGAAAAAAAATATGAAAAAGAGGCGTACGGCATGCAAAAAAGCAGATGAAACGTTCCATATGGAATAATAAAATGACCAACGAGGCAGCAGCAAATCTCACGTGAATGTTCAAGATAGAACTTAATAAGGAAATAAACTTGCGAACAAGAGCAAAGAGACAACTTGGAAAAAAAAAAAGATATCCAAATCAGGCACAGAGAGTGTTGTGAAACCAAAGAAAGAGACTGAGGACCAAAAATATGCCATTCCCTAACTAATACGTAAATTAGAAACCAGACAAACAGACTAAACACAATTGCAAATTGAATTTTTTTAATTTATTTTTTTAAGTTTTGTTTTGGTTTGTATTTTTTTTTCTTTTTGAGAGAGAGTGAGAATGAGTGCGAGAGGGGCAGAGAGCTTGGGGGAAACAGAATTCCAAGCAGGCTCCTCACTGTCAGCGCAGAGCCCAATGTGGGGCTTAAGCTCATAAATCGTGAGATCAGCGACCTGAGCTGAAGTCAGACGCTTAACCGACTGAGCCCCCCATGCGCCCCCAACAAATGGAAATTTTTAAGGGAAAGGAAGGACTGTTCATAGCAAAGGAAAGAGGCAAACACAGAGTGGATACTGAGAAAACAGAAAGATCTACCTAAAGATAACTGTCCTCGGGGCAAAGAACCCAACAAAAAAGACACAAAAATGCATTCAAATAACCTAGTAAAGAATCTGACTCCATTTTTGATCTTCAACTGCTGACAGCTTTTGAGCCACCATCACCCCCCTCCCCTGCTGCCCCACATCTGGGCCGACTGATCAGGAAACCCAGGGGCTCCCTCCTTTAACATTGGCAAGAAGTTTAAACCACACAAGCCCCTGACCACACGGGAGAACCCTCACACCGGCCCCGCTCCTTAAACGCCATAAAACCCCCATGCGGGGAGCCCTTCCCCACTCCTCCAAGCCAGTTTTGGAGCTGCTTGCGGGGGGTGGGGGGGGCTGCCCTGCTCCTCCCAGGAATCCTCACTATGGGGGTGCCTGGGGGGCTTAGCTCAGGTCATGATCTCATGGTTCGTGGGTTTGAGCCCCACATCGGGCTCTGTGCTGACAGCTCAGAGCCCAGAGCCTGCTTCCGAGCCTCTGTCTGTCTCTCTCAAAAATAAATAAACATTTAAAAATATACATATACATATAAACAACAGCCTCACTATGTGAGTAATAAACCTTTTCACACCTTCTGGGGGTGGATGTACCTTCATCAGGCTCTGCACCAAACCCAGGTCCAGCTGGGGGGAGGTGAGGCCGCCTCATGTCTATGGGATGATTACAACACACATACACCAGAAGGCGCTGTCCCTATAATGCTGGGAAACCTGTCTGTGTCATTTAACGGAAGAGCATATTGTGTTCTGAAGAGCCTGATATAAAGTGGTGATGCCGGGGCAAATTGTGGTAAAGTTCTCAAACTCCAAGGATAAAGAGACAATTCTTTGGGTGTCCAAACGAAAAGAATAAGAGGAAAAAGAATCAACCGATCTCAGACTTCTCCCTAACACTGTCTACAGAGTTTTGAGGAAAATGCATAAATCCAGCCAAGAAGCTATTCAGTTATTAAGCAAAAGTTCCCTGTCCTCAAACAGGATTGCATTTGTAATTTTTAAATGTTTTTTATTTATTTCTGAGAGAAAGAGAGAGAGAGACAGCGTGAGCAGGGTAGGATCAGAGAGAGAGTGAGACACAGAAACTGAAGCAGCCTCCAGGCTCTAAGCTGTCAGCACAGAGCCTGACGCAGGCCTCGAACCTACGAACCACGAGATCATGACCTGAGCTGAAGTTGGACGCTCAACCGACTGAGCCATCCAGGCGCTCCATGCATTTGTAATTTTTATGAGTTCCTTTTTGGGAAACTGATAGTTGAAAACAAGCCAACCAAGAGATTAATGAAAACAAATGAGTCAGGAATGGGCGTGCTTTGGCATGCAGTGAACATTAAATCCATTGTACAACTGAGGTTTAGTTAAAATCTCTAAATCTTTCATGCTATCTTAAAAAAATTTTTTTGACATTTATTCATTTTCGAGAGACAGAGTGTGAGCGGGAGAGAGGCAGAGAGAGAGGGAGACACAGAATCTGAAGCAGCCTCCAGGCTCTGAGCTGTCAGCGCAGAACTAGACAAGGGGCTCTAACACATGAACCTTAAGATCATGACTTGAGCTGAAGTCAGATGCTCAACCAACTGAGCCACCCAGGCACCCCCCCCATGCTATCTTAAATGAAATACATCACTTAAGCAATAAATTGACTATGACTTCTTAGTGTATTCTTAATCTTTGTAAGGGTAACAATCTAGATACCGGACCATGGACTGTGGAAGTATTTTGCTTATTTTGTTTGACCTACTCAGTGACAGCATATGCAATGTAATCGGAGAGATTTTTATTTTGAAAACAGTACTAAGCAACTTAACATTTATAGCTTGCTTTGTGAATTATATTCTACATCCAAAGGCACTTGAGTTTGAGACCCCTGCTTTAGAGGAGTATTTTAGGAACACACAAACCTTTGTTAAAGAAATAACTACCTGAGATAATTTTTTCAGTTTCTTTTCCTTCTCTTATCCACTTGAAGAAAATCATTTCTATATGTAGATTGCATGTATCACATATAAATTGAGACTTAAATATAAATATGCATACAGAGATTACTAGGATTCAATTTGGCAAATGTTCACAATATTTCTGGCTGGTAAGATTTTCTATAATTTTGGGGGCGCCTGAGTGGCTCAGCTGGTTAAGCGTCTGACTCTTGATTTCAGCTCAAGTCATGATCTCATGGTTCATGAGTTCGAGCTCTGCATTGGACTCTGCACTGACAGTGCAAAACCTGCTTGGAGTCCTCTCTCTTCTTCATTCTGTGCTCCTCCCCGGCTTGCTCTCTCTCTCTCTCTCTCTCTCTCTCTGTCTTTCAAAATAAATAAACTTAAAAACATTTTAAATAAAAGATAAAAAGATTTTCTATAATGTTTCACCATTTTCTTTGTACATTTTGTACTTCCCTGTATTGCCTGAATTTCCAAGAATGAGAATTCACTGTTTTTACAGTAATAGTAAAGTCATTATTTGGAATATAATGAAAATAAAGTGAATTACTGTGTGCCCAGGTTTTTTTACATCAGTACTAAAAGAGGTTACATATCAATAACAGTACTTTGTGTGACCCAAATATTAACCTCATTTCTCATCGTAATTTGTAAATAACTTTAATTCATTAATCATCATCAAAATTCACTTAAGTGTTGTTTTTGGGGGTTTTTTTTTTTTGGTGGGAAAGGAAGGTTCAAAGTAAATTATGAATACTACTGCATTTAAAAAGAATGCTGATCCTTCCTCTCATCAGTGTAATTGCTTATCCTTTGTGTACACAGGATTTTAAGAGGCTTTCCCTTTAGCGTTTGCTTAGATTAGTAAATTGATGAGAGGGGCATAGTTACTTTTCTTCAGAATCAGTCAGCACCACATCACTGAAGATAAAGTGGTCCTTCTAACAAGTCAAATAGCCAAAGGGCTCCTTACTGGTCTCAGAACCGCAGGTAACTTACAGGATTTGTTTGACAAGTCACCCAATCTCATTGTTCTAAAAACGGTGCGGTGCTGCCCGGCGTCTACACTGGAGGAGGTTTTCCTTTGTGATACGCTCTGGAGCAGAAAAAGGACATTAGGCAAAACGTGATAAACCTGAATAACTTTGGGTTTGAGTTAATAGTCATGTATCAGTATAGGTTTAGTCATTGTAATAAATACACCAGATTAAGATCTAAGATTTAAAAAAAAACACAGTCTGCACCCTCAAGAAACTTACAAACTAATAAGAATTTTTTTTTAAAGATATAAAGTGGATAAAGAGTGTCATGACTGAGGTGAACACGGGTCACTGCAGATGCTCCGAAGCCACCCTGAGAGCCACGCTTTATCAAGCTATCTTAATCATGCCCCGCGATGTTTGAAGAGCAATATTTCACTGTACGTCACAACAGTCTTGTTGGTAGGTCCACTGAATAGGTAAGGAAACTCACAAAGCAGATTTGTGTAACTTTCCCCTGGTCACTCGCTCAGTGGTGGGAGGGGTAGAGCCAGGACCCAAACCCCATGTGCTAACTCAAGCCCTGGCTCTGAGCCACTGTCGTGCTGAGAGATCCAGAAAGGCTGAAGGTACCCACGAGGCTTACTCTCAAGAAGGCTCACGACAGAAACGCTGTGATGAATACATAACCACAGAAAAGGCTAAGAAGAAGCTGTAGGGAGGAGAGAGGTAGAATCAAGGGTTGAGATGCTTTAAAAAATGAGAGCATGACCAGCAGCATCAAACACCACGAGGAGGTCAACCAAACTGATGATATAAAGGTCCTTGGGCTTTAACTACAGTGGGGTCCTTGGGGATCTCGGCAAGGGAAGTTTGGGTTGCGTGGGGTGGAGAGTGAGAGCGGGAGAGGGGTGAGCCAATGCCAGGACATAGTGAGTTGACAAATGAATAAATAAGTGACAGAGAAATGGATACACTGAAGGACGCCTGGCTGGCTTAGTTGGTAGAGCATGTGACTCTTGATCTCAGAGTTGTGGGTTCAAGCCCCATGTTGTGGGTAGAGTTTACTTAAAAGTTTTAAAAAAATGGATACAGCAACGGTTGAATATTATTTCTAGAAGCCTGACTGTCCAGATAAAGGGAGGGGTCAGCAATAGATATCAACCTAAAGAGAGATATTTTCTTTTTTTAAAAAAAATGTTATGCTTATTTATTTTTGAGAGAGAGAAGGAGAGAGAGAGAGAGCGCACAAGCAGGGGAGGGGCAGAGAGAGAGGGAGACACAGAATCCAAAGCAGGGTCCAGGCTCTGAGCTGTCAGCACAGAGCCCGACATGGAGCTTGAACCCCCGAACCACAAGATCGTGACCTGAGCCAAAGTCGGACGCTTAACCAACTGAGCCACCCAAGGTGCCCCACGAGATATCTTTTCCACAATTGGTTTTACTTTGCTTTTTCTAAGAACAGAGAGGCCAGAGCAGGGGTTGTACATGGGCAGTGAGCTGACCAACCTGACTTATTAACTCGGTTTTGCAACAGCATCTGACTTTGAGTAAATCCTCTATTCCCTCTTTTGGGACTGCTGGTCTGTGGGGGGTGGGTTCTGACCCGCCTCAGGACCACTCAACAACTTTCCCCAGGGACTCTCAAACTCCAGTGATTGATTCCAGGACAAAAACGGTCAGAGTTGATTCACCCCAACAATGAGGAGGAATCCGGCTCTTGCTTCAAAACTGATGTGTCATCTTTCAGCCTGACCACAGGCCATTCCGAAAGCTTTCCCTGGCAGACCTCAGGAGGGAAACCACCCCTTGCCAGCAGAGTGTGGGGGCCGTGCAGTGAACCTGGGGGAGTCACAGTTGAGGATTTGGGCGCCTTTGCCACGTGCTCTTAGCACATCTGCATTTCTGGCCAAGTGCCTCCATTCCTTGGTCTCTATACCTGAGGCTTTGGGTACAGGTCTTCTTTAGGCACTTCTGCCTAGGATTCTAGGGGAGGAGGAGGGAATCTGGAAGACACATTTCTCCACTCTGACTACAGTAGCCGTTACTTTTCCACTCCTAGACCTGACCCACTCCCCCCTTGTCTATCCGAACACAGGGTGGGAGAAACTTCAGAAGCCTTTTGTTCAGGGCTCCCTCAGCAGCAATTGCACACATCCACCTGAACTCAATGAGGGAAAGGGAATGGGGGAGTCATGCTCTGTCTGATTTCAGTCTCCCTCTAAAGGGAGGCAGTGATTAAAGGCTCCTGTCTTCCTCTTTGGCTTGTTTGTTGCATTAATTAGCTACTGGGACACCTGACAACCTGCCTCTCACCCATCTCCCCTGGCAATTGGTCCTGGGGGACAATGCTACCCAGCTCCATGGAGCTGCCCTGGCACCCGTTCGTCCCAAGGCCAGCTCTTGTGTATTTCCTTACATGGGACGGGCCCTGTTTTGGCTTCAATTAGCCCAAGCTCTTTGCAGTTGCAAAACTCCAGCTGTCATAAGCTTGTCTATATGCTGATCGTGAAAAACCAACGAAGAAACTTAAAAAAAACCAAAAACCATCAGCCGACATAACTGGATACCTTCACCACCGACGGCTTGAGAATGAGACATAACACGAGTTAGGCATTTTATCTGAAATATTTTCTATTTTTCTGCTAAATGCCTCCTGTTTGCAGTTATAGTTCTGAAGCAAAAATAGAGTACCAAAATAAAAATATATTTACCAAACCTAAAGAAGTGCCATACATTTGGAGATGTTAAACTAAATGTTGAATTCAACTTTCAGGAGACAAAATCCAAATCTATTTCAGGAATGGAGTCGCTGGGTTTTGTTCTGTGTAAAACTTAAAGTACCCAAGAATGGCCAGCAGAGGGAGCCAAAACCACATAAGTAATTCTTTTTTCTTCTCTACAAACGTGTTAGGAAAATGGGTTATTAAAAACTGCAAGATGAAAACGAGCCTCATTTCCCAAAAATATATGCAAAAATCATAGAAATCATATAATTTAATGCTACTCTGCTTCCAAGCACTCTATAGAAAAATTTAAAGCTGGAAGGAGATTCTGAATCTCAAGTAGTTCTAAAAAGAAGCATTCCCCCACCCTCCTCCCTTCCTCTCCCTCTTTCTCTCCTCTCTCTCTGGGACTTGCTTGCAATAACTCCTGAGAAGTAGGTAATTTGTATTCTATTTAAGTTAACACATTCTGTGAGTAGTATAATAGCACTTTTTCAATTGCCATCATAGGAACGTACAGGCTCATACTGGAAACAGGTATTTTGAAAACAGGTCTCTAACTCCGACCTCCTAAATCAGGCCTTAGGTATACCTTAAAAAAGAAAAGAGACATGGTTCTCAGAAAAGTTTGCTGAAAAGGAATTTGCTGCAGTTATAAACGTCTCTCCATTTTCTGGGTGGTACCTATATTAGTTAGGGTGTTCTATGTATAAACAAGAGAATCCAATTTGGGCTTATTTAAGAGGGGAAAATAATTTATTAAAAGGATACTGGTTTGTACTATTCTTTTAGGAGTTTACAATTAACATTTGGGGGAAAATATTTTATAGGTGAAAATGATGAGTTTATTTGTGCAACTTAATGTTCACAAATTTGAAAATTTAAATGAAATGGGTTAAACAAACAAACAAATCTTGAGGCCCAAATGGCTTTACTGCCAAGTTCCAACAAGTATTTAAGGAAGAAAAATGTCATCTGAAACAAAGCCTTCCAAGGAAGAAAAAGAGAAAGGAGTTTCTACTTCTTATGTGAAGCTAGCATTACCTTGATATCAAAACCCAAACAAGGGATTTCCACTTGCAGAAAGATGGAGTAGATGTACTTTTTCTATTCTTCTCAGTAAATACAGCTAAAAAGGCTGGACATTATTAATACAACAAACATAAGATGTCTCTGAAAGGTGGAGATAGGCAGACAGATGGATAGGGATCTCAGTCAGACAAGAGGGATGATAGTGGGCATGGGTTTTCTTTTTACTTCATATAGCCTAGGGTTTTTTCTTTCTTTCTTACACATTGTATCTCTAGTATCTAATAAAGTATCTGGCAAGTAAGACGTGCTTGGTTAATGAACAAATAAATAAATGAATGAGGGATCACTAGGTAGTGGATCTATTAAGCATGAAGTGCTATTGAAAGCACTATTGAAGAAGAAACATTTAAACCTAGTCCTTGACCTCTATGAATTTATTTTATATGACCTAAACGTTGGCCAATTTAAGAAGAACACAGACAGGGGTGACTGGGTGGTTAGGTCAGTTGGGCATCCTACTCAGCCGAGGTCATAATCTCATGGTTCATGGTTTCGAGCCCCACATCAGGCTCTGTGCTGACAGCTCAGAGCCTGGAGCCCGCTTCAGGTTCTGTGTCTCCCTCTCTCTCTGCCCCTCCCCTCTCACTCTCCGTTTCTCTCTCAAAAATAAGTAAACATTAAAAAACACACACAATCAATCATATAAAGTGAAAAACTGCTAAAACTATAAATTGTAAATACAAAATCAACTGTTAGGCATGACTAGTGATAAGAAGCCTATTCCTTTCTACATGATGAAGAAAAGTACCGTGGAACAAGGCAGAACGTGTGAATTGGACAAAGAATAGTCCAAATACAGGTAAAACTGCTTACGCTGGATCATAAACATGGACCACTCTCCTGAATAACCTGAAAACTGACTTCTGCTGTTGTAGACACCACGGAAAGGGAAGGAAAAGAAATAAGACATAAGGATTTTCTTTCCATTATTTTACATAAGACTATGGGTTAAGCTAAAGCACAATGCCTGGCACACACTAAAAGTGTCAATAAAGGCAAGGCAATCAAAAAACCCACACATCGGGGGTGCCTGGGTGGCTCAGTTGGTTAAGAACCTGCCTTCAGCTCTGGTCATAATTTCACAGTTCATGAGTTCAAGCCCCACATTGGGGCTCAGATCCTGTGAGCACATCAGATCCTCTGTCCCTCTCTCTCTCTCTGCCCCTCCCCTACTGTTTCTCTCTCTCTCTCTCAAAATAAATAAATAAACTTAAAAAAGAGAGAGAGAGAGAGAAATCCACACATCAAATGGCTTGCAGGTCCACTTTGCTGAGCAACTGTAGGCAGTTGGCAGTGTAGACTACTATGGGGAAGGCGTCCCCTGGGCACACGCGGCAAATATCCTCTAGGGCCAAGCACCACAGACCCGATCATCTAAATGTTTCTGTTTCCAAGGCATTACAGAATGACATTCTGTGATAGCTACAACTTCTATACATATTCATGAAGACATACGCCAGGACTGAAAGATAGCCAAGCAAGAAAGAAGAAAATCTTGTTAAACTGACAAGATTTCCTTGGTCAATGTCATCAGACAGGACAGCTACATCCTTGGCTCATCTGGATCTAGTTCAGATCACTAAAGAGCTTTGTTCATTTTGTGATAAAAATTAGACACTTGCAAAATAAGTTTCTGACAATTCCCCTAGATTTATTTTTGCAATAATCAGTTAGTGCAGGAGCCTTTTTTAAAAATGCATAGAAATGGCATTAGCTCAAGATGATATAATGTGATTTCTAAAAAAGCACTTCATCAAATGTTTTGCTAGGTTTCCATAAAAGCAGTAGGAGGTATCTGCTTAGGAATCATTCAATTTTTTACTTTATTTTTTGCTTTACTTGGAAAACTTACCAACATGATTTGCCAACACACTTTTTAAACCAGTCCATTTTATTTTTATTTTGTTTTTAATTTTTTTAATGTTTATTTATTTTTGAGAGACAGAGACAGAGCACAAGTGGGGAAGGGCAGAGAGAGAGAGAGAGAGGGAGGGAGGGAGGGAGGGAGGGAGGGAGGGAGACACAGAATCTGAAGCAGGCTCCAGGCTCTGAGCTATCAGTACGGAGCTCAATGCAGGGCTCGAACTCAGAAGCTGGGAGATCATGACCTGAGCTGAAGTTGGATGCTCAACCGACTGAGCCACCCAGGTGCCCCTAAACCAGTTAAATCAGAGTATCTCATCTAATGTTTAAGATCCATGATGAGAAGAGACAAAGGGAAAGACACTTTAAGGTTAATTTGCCTTATTTTATTTTTAATGTTTATTTATGAGAGAGAGAGAGACGGGCAGAGAAAGAGAGAGGGACCGAGGATCCAAAGCAGGCTCTGGGCTGACAGCACAGAGCACAAAGCAGGGCTTGAACCCACAAACCGTGAGATCATGACCTGAGCCCAAGTCAGCCACTTAACCTACTGAGCCACCCAGCTACCCTGTCTTATTTTTTCTAATGTTTATTTATTTTTGAGAGAGGACGAGAGACAAAGCATGAGTGGGGGAGGGGCAGAGAAAGAGGGAGAGAACAGAATCCAAAGCAGGCTCTGCACTGACAGCACAGAACCCAACACGGGGCTCAAACTCACGAACCACAAGACCATGACCTGAGCCGAAGTCGGACGCTTAACCAACTGAGCCACCCAGGTGCCCCCCTACTTATTTTTTTAAACATGAAAATAGGACAGTTAGTGATAAGACAGTGTTCCTCAAATTTACCTTACTTATCATAAGACTTACCTGGGGTGTTGGAAGAAAATAAAGTATGGATTTCCATGCCTCCTCCTTAGAGGTTCTAATTCCTGAAGTTCAGGGTAGGACTCAGGAATGAGTATTATTAAAAGCATTTGAAGGAATTTTACAATCAGTCAAGTTAGGGAAATGGTTGGTGTCATGGAGAGGAGACCGATCTTCTATTGGCATTCAAAAATACCAAGAGTGGTCAGATCTTCTGTGTGCCCTTAACTGAGTCATTTGATCTCATTGGGGCTAAATTTCCTCACTTGGAAAAGTAAAACAACAGCAAGACAGGTTTTAGTCTAAGATCCCCTTGAAGACAGACACCGCTGGACTATGCTCACAGCTGGACCCCCTGGGCCTAGCCCGGCGCCCGGCACAGGACAATCTCTCAGTTATTAATTGTTGACCAATTCACTAGCTGGACAACGTGCAAGATTCCTTTTCAAATTGAAAATCATATGATTCTAAAATAAATAATGAAACAATCCATTTGGTTGGCCATTTGCAGAGCAAGAATTACTCTCAAAACAAAACAAAATATCAACCAAAAAAAAGCCCCCATGTTCCTTTTGAGTGGCAAGTGGCTGGTAAGTACTTCAAAGGATCAGACCTGCATCACTGGATTTCATGGATTCTTCACAGGATGGTTCAAGGTGATGAACTTGATGCACTTAGCATCCCGTGTGGCTCGGAAATGTTAAGTAGAGGCTCAGTAAAATGTGAGTTGAATGTGGAAAACCCAGGATTATGTGGAAAACAGAGTAAGTTCTCTGGCTACATATACAGGAATACCAGGGATGCCTGGGTGGCTCAGTCAGGTAAGCGTCCGATTTCAGCTCAGGTCATGATCTCATGGTCTGTGAGTTCCAGCCCCGCATCGGGCTCTGTGCTGACAGCTCAGAGCCTGGAGCCTGCTTCCCAGATTCTGTGTCTCCCTCTCTCTGTGCCCCTCCCTTGCTGATGCTCTGTCTGTCTCTCTCAAAAATAAATAAATAAACAAATAAAAGAATACCGTAGTCATCACATAACTTTTAGGATTTTTGTTAATTTAGTCCCAAAACATACTGTCAAGTAACAAGTTGAGAATCATTAGGAACCTTCCCTGGCACGTGTGCTTGGGACACTGATAAAGAAAGAAAAACAAATGCTGAAAACTCTGTTTATAGCATTTCAAGTTTACTCTAAAATCACATACTAATTGTTTTTGGGGTTTTTTTTTTTTACATTTATTTATTTTTGAGAGACAGAGCGCAAGTGGGGCAGGGGCAGAGAAAGAGAGGGAGACGCAGAATCTGAAGCAGGCTCCAGGCTCTGAGCTGTCAGCACAGAGCCCAACTTGGAATTAGAACCCACAAACTATGAGATCATCATAACCTGAGCCGAACTTGGACATTCAACCGACTGAGCGACCCAGGTGCTAATACTAATTGTTTTTTTAAAAAATTATACATCACTCTATTTAAATGCTTCCATATATTTTACAGTTCGTATAACTTGAATTAATGGATCTGCAGGTGAAATCTACACACCAGCAGAAGCACCTGGGAAATACGAATTCCTGAGCCCTACCCTAGACCTAAGGAATCCAAAACTCTGGGTGTGGAGCAGCAAAATCAATGATGTTAATGTCTTCCAGGTAGTTCTGTTGCACTCGGAAGTATGAGACCCCTGACTTAGGGTAAACAGGATTCCATTACAAAATGAGACCCAGAGGCGCCTGGGTGGCTTAGTTGGTTAAGCATCTGACTCTTGATTTCAATTCAGTTCATGATCTGATGGTTCATGGGATTGAGCTTAGCCTTGGGCTCCATGCCGAGCTTTGAGGCTGCTTGAGATTCCCTCTTTCCCTCTTTCTCTCTCTCTCTTTCCCTCTGCCCCACCCCCACCCATGCTCTTTCTTCCAAATAAAAAGAAATTAATTTAAAAAATAAAAGCAGATCCAAAGAAGGCTCAGTTCAAATCTTTGTATAACCTCCTACAATGTATCAGAATTGAAAAAAATCACATCTACGTAGTCAACTACGAGCTAAGGTACCACAACACACTTTTACATAATAACTTGTTTTCTCCTTTTGAAAAAAATCTTGAAATACTGATCTCAAATTGCCAAGAAAAAGCCAACCACTGGCATTAAGAACACTCTCATCCTAATTTCTCAATTTTACAAATAAAATACAAATTTCTCATAAACATTGCCAAGTATTACCAAATTTATTTTTAATGTTATCAACACAGTAACAATAAAAAAAATAAGGCAATGGGTATACAGTGCAAAGTCACCAGGTGTGGGGGTGTATTTTTCATTCAAGAAGTGAGTCTGACATGGAACTTGTGGCGTGTAAGGTTGGAAGGGTAGCTAGCTCTTACACACTTAGGATTTTATGTTCTATGTAAGGAGAGTTCTCAGCTACACAATTCCGAACATCTCAAAACTACATCTTCTCAGTTACCAATAGAGATAAAAGATGTTTTGACTTGAGGGCAGAGACATACGTGTTAGGGTGAGGCAATGCTGAGGTCACGCACTGTCACCTTTTGGTCACCAGTGAAGGCATTTGAGAAGACACAGCGAGGGGTTCCTGGGTGGCACAGTCGGTTAAGCGTCCAACTTTGGCTCAGGTCATGGTCTCATGGTTTGTGGGTTCGAGCCCTGCATCTGGCTGGAGCCTGTTTCAGATTCTGTGTATCTCTCTCTCTCTGACCCTCCCCTGCTTACGCTCTCTCTCTCTCTCTCAGAAATAAATTTTAAAAACATTAAAAAAAAAAAAAAGACACAGTGACAGAGTGACTTGCCCATTCTACATTGTTCTACAGCTTCAGATAACATGAGTCTTCATTTTGTTCTCCCAACATTTCCCCCAAGCCTTAAAATCCACCCACAAGAAAGAGATTGGCTTTGCTGTCAAGAAGAAACAGAAAGGGGTTCCTGGGTGGCTCAGTCAGTTAAGCGTCCAACTTTGGCTCAGGCCATAATCTCACAGTTTGTGAGTTCAGGACCCGCAATGGGCTCTATGCTAACATCTCAGAGCCTGGAGCCTGCTTCAGATTCTGTGTCTCCCTCTCTCTCTGCCCCTCCCCTGCTCATGCTCTGTCTCTCTCTCTCTCTTTCAAAAATAAATAAACATTAAAAATTTTAAAAAAAAAAATGAGGAGGAGAAACAGAGAGCCCCAGGGAACAGCTCCTAGTCAGGAACGGCGAATGGCAGCGTGCTGACCACCTCCCCGGATTCGGTGACGATGGCATCATAGACCCACCGGCGGTTGCACCTGCACTCGGGCCCGCACTTGTTGGAGTTGCACTTGGGGCACGGGTAGAAGCAGCCCAGACAGTTCTTCTCCAGGCAGTCACACAGGTCGGCGTCGTTACAGATCAGCCGGCCACTTTTGTCGTACTTCTTCCTGACTCTGCGGAGAAAGCAGACAGTGCCGGTTTCTCAGCACGGAGAAGGAAGGACCACGCGGCTCCCCCCATGAACACAGTCCCTCTATCCCGAGGAAACGGCACCCTAAAGATTACCGGGCCATGCTCCGGAATAGGAGGCGGCACTGGTGTTCGGGGAAATTCGGCCAATATGCCACGGATTTCCAGCGTGGCCAGGCTAGTCACTGACCGTGCACTTTGTTTTTCCAGCATGATGGGGAAAAGAACGTTCCACCGAAGCAAATGAGAAGGAATGGCTGAATCAAAGCTCCCTCCTACAAACGCCCCCAATTTTTCTTTAAGACTGTAATCATTCTCGACGGAATTTTCTCTGATAAATTACACTCTTTTTTTCTTCCTATATATATTAAAAAAAAAAAAAAAAAACAAACAAACACTAGAGGGAGGGAGCCTGGGTGGCTCAGTCCGTTGAGCATCTGACTCTTGGTTTCTGCTCAGGACATGATCTCACAGTTTGTGAGATGGAGCCCCGCCTCGGGGTCTGTGTTGACATCAAGGAGCCTGTTTGGGATTCTTTCTCTCGCCCTCTCTCTGCCTGCCCCTCTCCCACTTGCACATGCACATGCACTCTCTCTCAAAATATATAAACTTTTTTAAAAAGTACTACAGGAATACAATTATATTTTTAATAACTCAAGATAAAGATTAGAACTGTGCATTACTACACCATCATCGTTAAGAAGAATCACACACATGAGCACACACTGGCGGTCCTTTCTTTGCTAACTAACAGTCTCCATTCGTTTACGCTTCTGTTCCTTTCTGATTTGGTTCTCACACCGTGTGGAAAGAGAGAAAGCAGGTGATCAAGGTGGTGGGATTCCTGGTGAGCTGAGCGAAGGCAAGGAGCTCTGTACCGGAGGCGAGCAGCGGAGCCCACACCCAGAGGAAGCCCACACCTTCTCCGTCAGCCCCCGTGACGTGTCCAGGAGGCAAAAGCTTCCACAAGAATTCTGCCACCCTCTCAGAACTAAGCCTTTCTGAAATAGACCCTTTAAAGGTGAGCCGCTTGAAAGGCTCAGTCTGACAAAAGTGTCTCTATACAGCTTGTTTCCCTTATTAACAACTGGAAGCAAAAAGAAAAGGCTGGCCCAAGCTGGTGTGGCAAGATTGCCCACTTCCCTGCACCCTTTATTCGGAAACAGACACAGAACCTCCTCTCTACCTGTTCAGCTAAGTAATGCTCTTCATTCTTCCTCTTTCTCCTGACAAAGCAGGCAAGGCTGGAGATCAAAATGAAAACTTGCTGCCTGATTTCCTCACTTTATTGGGAATATTTTCTGAAGAGGATTTACATCTGAAGCCCTTTGTCTGTGGGATGAAGGCTCCTCACACCCTCCTACATCCACCAGGAAATTCAGGTGCCAGCAGACCAGAAGATTTAAAATCCAATATGGGGGGCCTGGGAAGCTCAGTCGGTTAAGCGTCTGACTTTGGCTCAGGTCATTATCTCACGGTTCATGAGCCCCACATTGGGCTCTGTGCTGAAAGCTCAGAGTCTGGAGCCTGCTTCAAATTCTGTGTCTCCTTCTCTCTGAACCTCCCCCCCTCAAAAATACACAGTAAAAGAATAAAATCCAATATGGAAATCATGGTCATGAAGCCACGAGAGCACATACCAGATCTTGTCCTTGTCACCTTGCCTTAAGCCAGAAATATACATTTGCCTTAACTCCAACACCAACGCACAGATTTGATAGTTTCCTGTCCATCTGATGCTTTCCTTTATAACATTCTCAACTATCAGACATACAAAAGTGTGCAAAACAGGGGTGCCAGGCTGGCTCAGTTAGAAGAGCACGGGACTCTTGATCTTGGGGTCATGAGTTTGAGCCCCATGCAGGGTATAGAGATTATTTTAATTGTTTATATATTTATTTGTTGAGAGAGAGCACATGAGCACATGCACAAGCCAGGAAGGGACAGAGAGAGACAAAGAGAAAGAGAGAATCTCAAGAAGGCTCCACGTTTAGCACAGAGCCCGACATGGGGCTTGATTCCACGAACCATGAGATCATGACCTGAGCCGAAATCAAGACTCAGGGGGTGCTTAACCTACTGAGCCATCCAGGCGCCCCATGTGATTATTTAAAAATAAATAAATGAACTTAAAAATAAACTGTGCAAAACATACTTGAATAGGTAAAGAAGAAGAATAAACCAAATCTCCGCTTGCCCACTGCCCAGCTTGATAAAATTTTGAAGAAAAGCTTGATAAACCCCAAACTCCAAGAGGAACCATAGCTTTCAGTAATCCTTTGGGGTCCTGGGCTGGCTCACTCAGGACAGTATGCAATTCTTGATCTTGGGGTCGTCACTTCAAGCCCCACATTGGGCATCCGGGGTGCTTGGGTGGCTCAGTTGCTTAAGTGTCCAACTTCAGTTCAGGTCACAATCTCATGGCTTGTGAGTTCGAGCCCTGTGTTGGGCTCTGTGCTGACAGCTCAGAGCCTGGAGCCTGCTCTGGATTCTGTGTTTCCTTCTCTCTCCCCCAATTCATGCTTCCTCCCCCACTCATGCTGTCTCTCAAAAATAATAAATGGTAAAAAAAAATTTTTAAGTCCCACATTGGGCATTAAAAAATCCAAACAAGGGGAGCCTGGGTGGCTTAGTCGGTTAAGCATCTGACTTTCGCTTAGGTCATGCTCTCGCGGTTTGTGGGTTTGAGCCCCGCGTCAGGCTCTGTGCTGACTGCCAGCTCAGAGGCTGGAGCCTGTTTCAGTCTGTGACTCCCTCTCTCTCTGACCCTCCCCTGCTCACGCTTTCTCTCTCTCTCTCTCTCTCTCTCTCTCCTAGAAATAAATAAAAACATTTTTTTAAAAAATCCAAACAAATTATCTCCCTGTTTTAGTTAAATATGCGTGAATCCCCAGGCACACTGCATTTCCCTACATCATGATCTGAGATTCATGCATGATGGTACATCTCGCTGTTATTCAAATATTCTCACTTCTCTCTGCATTCCGATGTCAGAATATCTTTTCCATTATGGATGGGCATTTAGATTGTTACTATCTTCTTTTCTCTACTATTATAGCAATGTTTTGAAACTTTAAAAAAAAATTTTAATGTTTTTTTTTTAATTTATTTCTGAGAGAGAGAGAGACAGCACGAGCAGGGGAGGGTCAGAGAGAGGGAGATACAGAATCTGAAACAGCCTCCAGGCTCTGAGATAGCTGTCAGCACAGAGCCCGACATGGAGCTCGAACCCACGAGCCGTGAGATCATGACCTGAGCCGAAGTCGGACGCTTAACCAACTGAGCCACCCAGGAACCCCAACAATGTTAAGAAACTTTTGAACATGTCTCCTGTTATACATGTATCAAAGTTTTCCCAGGATATATACCCAGGAGTGAAGATTTTAGCCCATAAGGTATATAGGTAATGCCTTTTAAATAGTGGTTGTACCATATTACACTCAGTTCATGTGCAGTAGCTTAATCCACATTGAGACCATCAGACTAAATGCTGCTTCTCTCTGGAACCTCTCTGCTGTACTGATGAGGTCCGTATCCTGAATGTTCATTAGCCTTTTCTGCATTGTTTGGTTGATTTTTCTCTTTAGCTGTTATCTTTTACTTATTGACTTATGTATACATAAACTCTGGATACTGATATTCCACATTATAAATAACTTCTCCTACCCTGTGGTTTGTCTTTCATTGTTTTTAAGGTATATTTTAATGGGCATAAATTTTTAATTTAAAAAATTTTAATGTTTATTTTTGAGAGAGAGATAGAGTGCAAGCAGGGGAGGGGCAGAGAGAGAGGGAGACACAGAAGCTGAAACAGGCTCCAGGCTCTGAGCCATCAGCACAGAGCCCAATGTGGGGCTTAAACTCACGAACCATGAGACCATGACCTGAGCCAAAGCCGGACACTCAACCAACTGAGTCACCCAGGTACCCCACGTCTCTTACTTTTAATCATCTTTCTTACTAAAGCTATTACTCTAATCCAAGGGTTTCTGATACCTTTAAAAAATTGATTACTAGTCTGGTATTATTGTCTATTTCTTGAAGTTGCTAACTTCCAAACACATGGGGCAATACTGTACTTGAGAAAAGATATTTTTAAAACATAAAGAAGAGGCAACCTTTGCTTTGTCCAGGGGAATTCATGCATGTTGTAATCCCACACATTAAATACAATAAATCATGATCTTACTTGTATTTTACAGAAAAATACTCATTCATCTTTGACATCCGAGCTTTCTTTTTCTGCTGCCTTGTTTCAGGATTAAAGTCCGCTACCTGTGGTCCAGGGTTTTGAAACGCCAAGCATTTTAACTGCCGCTCTATCTGTTGCTATGAAACAAATTAAATGTATTAGCAGTAAGAACTTGAGAGCTGTTTTATGCTGTATCAAAATAAACTTTCTTGTAACTTCCGCCATAATGTCATGAAAGCACAGATGTTTTACCTAGAGAAATAAACAGTTTAATTTGATTAAGTCTCTAAAGATGACGTAAATTTCCTCGTGTAAATTTCCTCATGTTAGGTCATTCTTTCTGAATGAAGAAATCTGTAGTATAAAACTAATATAATAATTTTAAAAAAACCAGGGGCACCTTGGTGGCTCAGTCTATTAAGCGTCCAACTTTGGCTCAGGTCATGATCTCAGAGTTCATGAGTTCAAGCCCCACATCAGACTCTGTGCTGGCAGCTCAGAGCCTGGAGCCTGCTTCAGATTCTGTGTCTCCCTCTCTGCTCCTAGCCCTCTCACATTCTGTCTCTCAAAAATAAACATTTTAAAAAGTTAAAACACATACATACACACAAAAACCAACCAAACAGGAAGAGGATTCCTCTTACACCTGTGAAATACCAGTTGGCTTCTCAAATCTAATGGGGATGAAAGTCAAACTTCACATTTTATGGAGTGAAAGAGAAAGGGAGGTGAGCCCTTCTGCAATTGGTGGCTGAAGAATCTCAAGGTGAAAGGTCTCAACCACAGTGGAAACCCAAAGTGCACACAGCCCCTTCCCCCGCCTTCAGTGTTCTGGAATATGCTTTACAACAATCATGTTGTTGAATCACTTCAATATAGTGTGCACCCACCTGAAGGATCCACTCTCAGTAAGAGCCAGATTTGAGGAAGAACATTTTCCTAGCATGGCTTTCTAGAGTGTTAGTGGGATTTTCAAGACTCCACCTGGAGACATTTACAAATGGAAAAGAAACAGAGCCCACTGGAGAAAGACAGGCAACAAGGACACTTCTGCAATAAATCCTGATACCTTGTTTCAAAAACGTGGCACATAAGTCACGAAGGAAAGGAATGCTCTTCTGAAGGATTTCAGAAGAATGTAATCTCATGGGTCCCCAAACACACAGGCTGACATACAGAGATGAAATACCATACCTGGAAATGAAAGGGAAACTTTCAAAGTGTAAATTTCAATGTAAACAAATCAGTAACAACCTCAGCCTTGTCTGCAGTTGATTTAGCTTATAACAGTCCAGTCTGTCTAAAATAATATAAATGTTTATTTAAATTTTCTGGTTTTTTTTTAAAGTTTATTTATTTACTACTTTGAGAGAAAGGAGAGAGCACAAGCAGGGGAGGAGCAGAGAAAGAGAGACAATCCCAAGCAGACAGCATGGTCAGCACAGAGCCTAATGTGGGGCTCAAACACATGAATCACAAGATCATGATCTGAGCCAAAGTCAGATGCTTAACCGATTGAGCTACCCAGGATCCCCATGTTTCTTTAAATTTTCATTTTGGTATGTGTATGGGTTTGTTTTACAAACTTGACCTTATGGAACAATTCTGTATTCAGGTATGTCTGTGAAATAAGACAACTTCATACCATCTATTATCATTGTCATTTCTATAACAAAAGTGTAAGAACACAGATACAGGGCACAAGTTCAAACCTTGGCCACCAGGTAGAGGTATGAGTTGAACAGGCTCTCACTTCTCTAAGCCTCACTGTCTCCCTGTGCAAAATGGGGTCACGGTAGTATCCTGTGATAAAAGGTTGGTAAATTAATATATACCAAGTTTTAGAATCATGACCAGCACATAATAAGAAAAAAAAAAAAAACCCTTGCGTTTGTTACATAAAAACACTGGACTATATTCTCTACAAATATTCTTCTCGAAGGGCAGGATTTTATTGCACAGAACACTGGATTGTAAATCCAGGGAGGTGAGGGGAAGAGAGGAGGCATGTGAAGTGAGACCAACTCCTCAGGGAGCAGAAGGAAAGGGGTGGGGGGAAGCCCCATCCACATGGAGGAGCAGAGAACCTTCCTGTGAAATCCTGCCGGGACCCACCTTCCACCCAAGACCAGGCTCACCTCCGACATCCCCGAGCTGAGACCGCTCCAAATACCATGAAACCCTAATATCCACTTGCCATACCAGCTGCTTTTGTCCAATCTGACAGTCTTTCTCAGAAGAGCTTTGACCTGTGCATCCGTCTTGCGTGGCCTTGTTCTTTTCTGACTGTTCATTCATTTCTGATCACTAAACAAAGGAATTGGGACCAAAAGGAGAACACATTAGTATCCTGCATCTCCAGTAACTTAATTCTGGAACTTTCCACCTCTGTCGCTACATCTTTCTTTCTTTCAAAGCCAGGTTTCCTGCAAAAGCCATCCACTCTCCTGGCTTCTTTTTTTTACCACTCACTCCACAATCCTGCGTCTGCCTCGCCCCAGACCACTTGACCAACACTCTTTCCTGCTGGCAGTTACACGAATAAATAAAACGTAACTTCTAATTGTTCTTAGCATCACAGACTTTGCTGGAGCAGACCACACTCGGACCAGCCACTTCTCTCTCTCTTTTTTATTTTTGAGAGAGAGCAAGAGAGTGTGAGCAGAGGAGGGACAGAGAGAGAGAGAGAGAGAGAGCGGGAGAGAGAATCCCAAGCAGTCTCCGCACTGTCAGCACAGAGCCCAATGCGGGGCTCAAACTCATAAACCGTGAGATCATGACCTGAGCCAAAACCAAGAATCAGACGCTCAACCCAGGGAGCCACCCAGGCGCCCCCACTTCTCTTTAAGAGTATGAATTCTTAGACCTCCATTCTTCCCCATTACACTTAATCCCTTGACAAAAAGTAAGACACGTGAATGTCATATCTCCCTGGTAACACTGTGCGAATCCCATCTGCTCTTGTGGGGTCAGTGTCACCGCTGCACAGATGGTTCCTCAGGGAGCCTCGAAAAGCCCTGGCTTCCTCACTCAAGTTCTCTGACACTTTTCTAGTACAACGTGGGGTAAAGGGAAGGTGTCAGGGGTCCATAAAATCCAGCTGCTAACATGCCCACAATTTATCCAGAAATACTCGGTTACATGCACAGGGTGCCGTTCTGTGTGCACGACTTGGGTGAAGTCCACACGGGATGCTAATTGCAAATGCACACCCCAGGCAGCTCTGCAGTGTTTCTCTCAGAAAGGACCAAGCTCCAAGGCAGCTTCCACAGCCCTGCGGGTTTTCTGATAGCTCATCCACTGCTGAGACTGTCTATAAGGATGCTGTTCCTACCAACCGAGCCTGAGTCATGCTTTCCCAAGGTGATCTGGAATGTTGGCACCACATGCTCACTGCCGGCCGGCTGGCTCTGTCAGCCTATCTGCATTCTCCCCGGTCTAGGTCATTAGACCTTGGCTGCCCACTCCTTCGTATCCCACACTCTCCAGTTCCCAGTAATAGGTTAGGAAGTTGATTTTTCTTTCCCTAACAATTGATTTTCCTTTTCATTCCCTGTCAGCTGGAATCCACCCTAAAGATAGTGGTCTTAGTATTAATAGTACTTCCCTTTGACCAAGACGGCCTTAATGCGCGTCAACTCGAGGAAACCTCAGCCCAACCTTCTTCCTGACCCTTGAAACTCATCTCCTTTTTCTCAGAGCTTTTACTTCAGAAAACTCATCATTATAGATTCTTTCTCTGTCCCACTGACATGTAAATCTTCTTGGAGCCTCCAGCTGATTCAACACAGGAATGTCTTTCTCAAAGATTAGAAGGTATCCCTTCGAAATGTAATCAGCCAGGAAGATGGCACCTGCGTTTGCCAGTCTCTGTGGGAAGGGAGACTAACTTGCTAATTGGTGGGTGCCAATTAGCAAACACAGGTGGCTGAGTCACAGAGAAAAACATTTCCAAACTCCATGTGCTCAACACATGTCGTGGATCAGCCCCCCTCAAGTCCTCTAGTACTTTCCTTCTGCCTTTTGGTTCACACTGAGTTCACACTGAGTTCTGGCTTCTCTCCCCTTCACCTCAGTCTCTAATCAAGTCTTCTTTACTTGTTTAACTTTGTTCCGTGCAATTTTTACTTTGACAACCTCACATAAAATTTCACGAGTGATCAGCCGGACATTCAGGTGGAGTATTTTCCAATTAGTCTAAAGATAAAATCACATGGAGCTATTTTAAAAATTATAAATTTCCTGTTGAAGCAGGACTTTAAACTACCTCCATTCTGACCTCAGTCTGTACATCCAAATTGATTAAGGTCTTTCCAGCTTATCTCTTTTTTCCCCAAAGTTTTATTTATTAAAAAAAATTTTAATGTTTATTTTTGAGAGAGAGAGGGAGAGAGACACAGAATCTTCATGAAGCAAGCTCCAGGCTCTGAGCTGTCAGCACAGGGCCCGACATGGGGCTCGAACTCACGATCACGACCTGAGCAGAAGTAGGACGTTTAACCGACTGAGCCACCCAGACGCCTCTCAAATTTTTATTTAAAAAAATTTTTTTAATTTAAATTCCAGTTACTTAGCCTATAGTGTAGTTGGTTTCAGGAGTAGAATTTAGTGATTCATCACTTACATATGACACCCAGTGCTCACCCCAAGTGCCCTCCTTAGTGCCCATCACCCATTTAGCCCGCCCCCACCCACCTCCCCTCCAGCAATCCTCAGTTTGTTCTCGATAATTAAGAGTCTCTTACGCTTGGCTTTGCTCTCTTGTTTTTCTCTTCCCTCACATTCATCTGTTTTATTTCATGAATTCCACAGGTAAATGAAATCTCTAGCTAAGCTCTTAAATCTGACAAAAGAGGGGCACCTGGGTGGCTTAGTCGGTTAAGCGGCCGACTTTCGCTTAGGTCATGATCTCGCGGTTCGTGGGTTCGAGCCCCGCGTCGGGCTCTGTGCTGACTGCCAGCTCAGAGCCTGGAGCCTGTTTCAGTCTGTGACTCCCTCTCTCTCTGACCCTCCCCTGCTCACGCTGTCTCTCTCTCTCTCCTAGAAATAAATAAAACATTAAAAAAAAAATTAAAAAAAAAAATCTGACAAAAGACCCTGATGGCAAAGCAGCCCCTATGGGGAACAAAACTACCCCATCAAGCAATTAGGACCGCCCTGAGCCGGGAAGACCCCAAGTGATTGACCTCAAGACAAGGATACATCTGACCTTCACCGCCCACCTACATAGACCCACCCACCTCTGTTCCACATTACTCTTATGGAAACCTACAAGGATTTCTAGCACTTTGGAGACAAACTTTGAGGTCTTCCGGGGTGTTGGCCTCACTGAGATAAATTCCTTTCCTGTTCTACCAATTTGCAAAGCAAAATCTTGGTAATCTGTGTAATTAATGAGCCCTGCAGGTGAATCCTCCCCTTAAACAGCTCCCCTTAAACAACAAGTAGGTGTTCTGTTTTCTCCATGCCATCTTGCCCTCTGATCTTAAAATTATTGCCTGTATTTTCTTCCCACCCTCAATTCATCCAAACCATGTGCTTGTGTTAATATTACCCTAAATCCAATATTCCTCTATCTCATTCCTATTAAAAGACTTTGATGACTCTCCACTGCCAATAATACCCCACAAGCCCACTATAGCAGAGGAGGTCAGTCACAACAGCCCCCAACCCGCTTGTATCTACACTCAGCTCCCCCCCACAACCCCACTCAGCCAAACCTGCCTGATCTTGCCACTCCCAGTAATAAAGACATCTCCCACCTAACTCAGCCCTTCACCTTTGAACTCTGCTCTCCGCTCCAAGAAGCCTCCAGAAATCTCCCCTGGCCTAAGTCCCTGCAGGTCCTTACCTCCCTTGGGATCTCTTTGGCGCTTCCTCAGGAAAATCACCCCCAACCCCCGGCCACCAAGGGACCCTAAACCCTCTACCTTCTTCATGTAACACATTTTCCTCTGTGTGGGAATAAATTCGAGCTCATGATTATCCTTGCAAGCTAGAATATTTCCTGAAAAGGCATCCATGTAACTTCAATGAGAGAAATTAGTATCTTCTGTAAATCCTCTGCCTGAGAGGCTTTTATTTAAGTGCTTTGTGAAATACAGTTTTCCACAAATATATTGGGGTGGAGCGGGGGTTGGGGAAGGGGGAGACTTGCTTCTTTATATTACAAATAAAGCAAAAGGAAATTATAAGAGAATGTCCCTGGGGACTGAAGTTTAATTGGATTCTATTCTGAGCCCAAAATATCTGTCCAGGAAAAGTAAGCAACAAAAGCGTTCCAGGTGCCTGGGTGGCTCAATCGGTTGAGTGTCTGACTTCGGCTCAGATTATAATCTCAAAGTTTGTGGGTTTGAGCCCCACGTGGGGCTCTCTGCTGAAGCTCAGAGCCTGGAGCCTGCTTCCAATTCTGTGTCTCCCTCTCTCTCTCTGCCCCCTCCCCCATTTGGGCTCTGTCTCTCTCTCAGAATAAAGACATAAAAAAATTAAAAAAAGAAAAGTAATAAAAGTGTTCAGAATTCCCCTTTTTCCCACCTGCTTAGTTTTCCCAAGGCAGGGGATCTTGATCTTGGATGAGTAAAGAATACAGAATACAGTATACAATATAAAGAATACATATTTATTCCCACTAACCTCTAATAAATTCTGGCATTTCCTTCTATTACAAGGCAACAAACAAGTAATAATCGTGTTAGCAGTCCTTGTGACTTTCTTGGCTCTGAAAACACAGATGTTTTCATCACCTGTTAGAACTGCTGTCGACACATCAAAATGTTATTTACACTTACCCCTTCCTTAAAATGATAGTAGTTCTTGGGCCTGCGGCTAGAATGTATTTGGTAGGTGAATAATGAAACACATATACTGCTATCACAAGTTGTTTTAACATTTTGATAAGTGTATTTCAGTGTAATTGCTTTCCTTTGTAACCTCACAGATCTAATTTATTTTTTTAATTTTTTTAATATTTATTTATTTTTGTGTGAGAGAGAGAGACAGAGAGACGGATATACAGCACGAGCATGGGAGGAGCAGAGAAAGAGGGAGACACAGAATTCAAAGCAGGCTCCAGATTGAACTGTCAGCACAGAGCCCTGTGTGGGGCTCGAACTCACAAATGATGAGATCACGACCTGAGCCGAAGTCGGATAGTTAACCGACTGAGTCACCCAGACTCCCCTCACAGATCTAATTTCATATGATTAAAAATATCATTCTAGGGGTGCCTGGCTGGCTCAGTCAGAGGAACATGAGACTCTTGATTTTGGGGTCATGAGTTTGAGCACCACGTGGTTTGT